ACCGCTGACCGCGCAGGAGGAGGAGGAGGAGCCTATTTGGACGGGGCTACCTCCTCAACGCATTGTAGATCGCCCCTTGCTGAGCTCGAGGGCCCACGGGCAGCGAGTTCCGGCCGTGGTGACTGAGGACGTCGAGTTCTTGTCGCCAATCCCTATGATTCAGACTTGCGGCGGCACTGGCATCATGTATCCTGGGCATCCTTCTGCCGCTTCGCTTGAGCCATCAGCTTTAGCATTGCCAGTTGTTGTGCACATTGATCCTGCTCCTGCCAGGTCGGATCACAAAGAAACGCTTCCTGCGGATCGACATGTGCCTCCGAGAAGTGACTATGGGATACGTAACTCAGGTTTACGTTTCACCCTTAAATGGCCAAGGCATGGGCTTCTGCGCAATGGATATCCCTTTGCCGATCAATTTGGGGCACCAGCGTAGACGTCGGCATATCGACTCGCGGCGGGATGCTGGACAACTTCAACTGCGCGAGCAAACGAGATTGGCTCTAGCATACTGCCGCGCCATTCCTACGCCTGTGGATCGGGTTTACATCATCTGCGACGGGGCGTTTTGGACGAACGGTCGCATGAGGTAGGCATGGGCCTGCGCCATCGCGCACTCCAATGGAGATGACTTCCTTTTCGAGGGCTTCTTCAGCGGCTACACCGAGGACATAATCACATAGGAGGTGGACGAGGATAGTGTCGACAAAGGGACTCTGGAGACGGCTGCGTGGCTGTGGGCACTGGTGCATGCGTTGCAGGTCCCGTCCCACTGGCATGTCGAGGTAATTTGCGATTGCCTGCCAGTCCTAGGATGTGCTTCGCCTGGGTCTGCCCAGACTGAGCCCTTCGCAGTCTAGGCCGCGCACGTCTGCGATGTCGTTAATCGGGTTCGTGATCTAAGATTGAGCCACGCGAGAGCCACGGAGGTCGCCCGCGGAATGAGATGCTGGACGCGGTTGCGAAGCACGCGAAGCAAGTGGCGCCTCCTGGGCTGCCACCACTTGCGTCGGTAGTTCTGCGGCCGTCCACATGGTGGGGATGGGCGCCGTATCGAGATCTAGGTTTCCCGGGCTGTGAGCTCATCCACCTCTGGGGAGCGCAAGCTTTGTCTACCAGCCCTGCCGTCAACAAGCTCTCCATCGATAGCCAGAGACACCAACTAAAGAGCAGATGCAATACATGTTAGCAATGAAGGTCGCGACATACAACGCGCAGAGATCGAACGCGCGTCTCGCCCAATGTTTTACCACCTCGGGGCTGCTGATGCCGATGTTGGGGACCTGGGTAGCTGGACCAAGGTGATGGTCGGTAAGGAAGCAGCACTTGCGAGGATGAGTTCGTAAGAGGCAGTCGACGAGTTCCCGGCGCATGCATATGTGTGCGACCTGATCGACGAGATGACAACTGGAAAGGTGCTCGATGTGTTCTTGGAGCTGCAAGGCTCCACCTGGTCTTCATATTGCTTGCGTGAAACTGGAGGTGTGCCAGGTCGGTGGTTACGCGACGCTAACCACCCGCTCGGTCTTCCAAGACGTTCTGATGAGAAGCGCTCTCGAGTGCAGTTCAACAATGCGTTGGTGATGGTATACTGGAAAGTTTTGAGATGGCTGGTCTTTTGGGTGTACCTTGTACTCAACAAGGCCGAGCTGCGGCAGTTGGAGATCTCAAGACCCATCAGGGCAGAATTGCTTCATGCCCGAAACCAGTTTGGAGTGCGCAGACGACGGCGTCCGATGGACGCGCCGTCGCACTTCCTTTGGTGGAGTGGCATGCTATGCTGGACGGCGAGATCAATTCTCTCGCCGAGGACGGGCTGTACATCGCCCGAAGACCTAGCGCAGGCGCAGTCGGCTCGGCTGCGCAGGCGCCAGTGGCCACCACCCGCGTGCTCGCGAGGGCGCTCCTTCTTGGAGCAGGCCAGTCGAGTACATGACCCCACAGGTGCTATGAACGGGGGATGGGGGAGGCAGGAGGAGGAGGAGACGAGCGTACCGAGGCAGGAGGAGGAGGAGGAGGAGGAGGATGAGGAGGAGGAGAAGGGGGGGCTGGAAGCACAAGGGCTGTTGGTGGCTGAGATGTGCTGCTGCAGCCTCCCTGCCCCCTTGCCCTGCCCAGCGGAGCGTGTTCCCCTGGGCCCCCCTTCATCAACTCCGACATCTTCGACACCTCCTCCTCCTCCTCCTTCTCCCCTCCCCTCCCTCGTCAGAGCAGCCACCCATGGGATAGGCTGCGGCATAGGTCCAGGATGGTTCCCGTTTGGGCCGCGGATGGTCAACACGTCCAGATGCCCACGTTCAGGTTTTTGTTGTTTTGCATGGCTAGTCTTCCCCAGCTGTGTGTTCGACCGCCCGCCGCTTCTGACCCACCCCTCTGCACCGCTCCACGAGTACCCCTGGGAGTGGGTGGCCGTGCAGCGTCATCTTCGGCTTTCTAATATGGGAGCGGTGCATAGGGAATGGGAGAGCCTGCGCATGCATTCACATGTTTACTGTTTTTGTCTAAGTTGCGGCGGGGGGGGTCTCTGTCTGCCAGGGACCTGTGGGCCGGAGGCAAAAGGGGTGTTGGTGGCCGAAGTATGCTGCTAGAGCCTCCCCGCCTCAAGCCCTGATCAGACAGGCGTGCTCCCTCCCCCCCTGGCCTGGCAGATGCCGACGGCGTAGATTTCTGCAAGCAGACATGCCAGCCAACTTGCGTAGCATGTCATACCTTCTTGAGGCGGATCCTCCCTTGTCCCTCCTGTTCCCTTTGCCGCGACGCCTGGCCTCTGGAGAATTCGTTCCCTGTCAACAAGGCCCTGGCACTGCGTCGGTGCCCCCAGAGCTCGGCCTGCTGACCTCAGTTCCCTAGGTCCGTGTTAGCCTCACTGGTGCTGCTCGTGCTGTTGAATCAAGGCCGAGTTCTGGACTTGCGTTATGTTTCTCGTCTTAGCCCACACCCACCTGATTCCACTGGCCTTGTGGGGCGACGCCAGACGCCTGACTTGCTGCTGGCCTACATGAACCCAGCACGCGTTCGAGGAGGCCCCGACTTTCTTGTCGACGGCGAGTCTGCCACCGCCCACGTACGCTACAGGCTGGTGCCCTGCAGCTTGCCCAGGAAAAGAGCAGGGCGGGCGGAAGGAGAAAGGGGAAACCCTGAGAAAGGAAACAGGAGGAGAGCGGCGAGAAGAGACGGGATGGGGTGACGGATGGAGCGAGGAGGGGGGGGATATGGAGAAAAGCGAGTCCTCCTCCTCTCGTCCTCCTCCTCCTCCTCCAGCTCCTCCAGCTCCTCCACCTCCTCCTCCACCTCCCGTCCTCCTCCCCCTCCCCCTCCGCCTCCCCCTCCTCCTCCTCCTCCGAGGGGGAGGGAGGGGTGAGGAGCAGAAGCGGGAGGTCGTCGCCACGGACAGCAGCGAGTACGCTGCACGCCCGAGCCGCCGCGCAGACGAGGCTCTTGAAAACGAGAGGCCGTGCCTCTGTCCTCGCTCTGTCTCTCTCTGTGGCGCGCGTGGCGGCCTCGAGGGAGCGGCGGCGAGTGGGCCAGGAGGAACCTTCGCGTGGCCCACCTTCTCCTCCTCGTGCCTTTCTTCTCCTCGGGTTCCTCGTGCTCCTCGTGCTCCTCGTGCTCCTCCTCCTCCTCCTCCTCCTCCTCCTCCTCCTGGCTCTCCATTTCCATCTCCTCCTCCTCCTCCTCCTCCTCCTCCTCCTCCCCAGACCTCCAACGTATGTAACATCGAGACGGAGGTGTTCGTCTTCTTCGGCTTCTGGGGGGCCATCGCTGGGCCCCAGGAAACGTCATTCACTGTCCAGGACGAAGAACGGGTCCTCGGGAAGTGGTCCGGAGTTCCGGGGACCCTGTACTGAAAAATCTAAGGCGTGTGTGTATGTGTATGTGTATGTGTATGTGTATGTGTATGTGTATGTGTATGTGTATGTGTATGTGTATGTGTACGTGTACGTGTATGTGTATGTGTATGTGTATGTGTATGTGTATGTGTATGTGTATGTGTATGTGTATGTGTATGTGTATGTGGTGTATGTGTATGTGTATGTTGTGTATGTGTGTGTGTGTGTCCTCCTCCTCCTCCTCCTCCTCCTCCTCCTCCTCCTCCTCCTCCTCCTAACTATGTTTCAGGTCGAGGATGCTATGACACCCGTTTGCGGCGGGTTGGCAGACTTAGCGTCAACGCTGGGATCGCTCCCAGGGCAGCTGCGGCCCGCGATGATGATGATGACCGCATCGGCATTTTCGTCACTGCACCCCGCACCCATGCCGCGAAGTCCAAATGTCATCCTGGTCCTCCTCCTCCTCCTCCTCCTCCTCCTCATCCTCCTCCTCCTCCTCCTCCTCCTCCTCCTCCACGCGCTCTGGGCGGAGCACGATGAGGACGCGTGGGCAATGCACCAGCGCGGGCGGGGCGGACACATTGATCGGGTCGGACAGGCGAAGGGGGGGGGGTCGCAAAGGGAGGGCTAGCAAAGGGGGGGGAGCCTCCTCCTCCAGACGATGTCTCAGGGCAAGGACGCACTGACACCCAGTTGCGGCGGGTGAGCACACTTACAGTGCAGCGGCAACGCTGGAGGAGGACAGCTGCGGACCCGCGAATATGTTTGCATCAGCATTTTTGGCCACCATGCCGCAAAGCCGAAGAGCCCTCCCCACGATCATAGAACAGCGCACGGACTAACCTATAGGGAGGATGCACGGTGCAGGGCGAGGCGATGCGGCGATGCAGTCGCAAAAGTGGGGGCACGAATTGTCGGACACCAAAGGGGGTCCCGTTCGAGCGGGGACCCCATCCGACAACGCACGCCCATAGACCCCCCCCCACAACTCAGCCCCGAGAAATCTCTGGGTCGGATACGCGTGGGTGCTGGTTGCCAGCTCATGACCACCTCCTCCTCCTCCTGTTCCTCCTCCTCCTCCTCCTCCTCCTCCTCCTCCTCGTCCTCCTCGTCCTCGTCCTCCTCCTCCTCCTCCTCCTCCTCCTCCTCCTCCTCCTCCTCGTCCTCCTCCTCGTCCTCCTCCTCCTTATCCGCGCGCCCTGGGCGGAGCACGCCGAGGACGCGCGGGCAAGGCACACTGGCGCGGGCGGGGCGGAGTCCTCGAGACATTGTCGGGACGCCATCGGAGGCTCGGAGAATGCCACTCGGCCCGCCACCACAAAAAAAAGCGTTCGGTTCGGCGTAGTCCCCACCCGACAGGCTTGGGCCCCGGACGTGCGACGCGCTCCTTTTTTCACCACAGGGTCCCTGGAAGTCCCGACCCCTGTCCCCGGGACCGGCTTTCCCTCCCGAGTCGTCTTGTTGACGGCACCGCGGCCCGGCGAGGGCCCCCCGAGGCCGAAAACGGCCAACAACCTCCCGTCCTGAGATCTTCACGACGCGATCATGTCTGGGGCTGTTAGACTCTGCAAGGAGAACTCCTGTCTGTCGACCCTGCACAGCGCGGCCGCCAAACTCCACAAGCTCCCGGGCATCCCAGAGTGTTCCGCCTCCGGACCTCGACGCAGGATGGCACCAGACCGCGGTCGCAGGACCCCACAGGAGCCCGGGAATCCCTGAGTGTTCCGCCTCGCGTCCTCGACGAATCACGACAACCTAACACCAGACAGCCCCGAGGGGGCAGGCGTCACTGCGTCACGCCGCCCAGGCGTCACGACGCATGAGCAAAGAGCCACCACGAATCGACATCGCGAACACTGCAAACACGGGGACACATAGAATCACAGCTCTGTCTATATATATATATATATATATATATATATATATATATATGTATTCCGTTTTCGATGTTCTTGCAAGCCCAGGCGGGGGGAAAACCCGTCACCCCCCCAAAAAAACAGGACTCCCGGGATCTGGGGCTTAGGGGCCCCCCAGACGGGCCTCGAAGCGGCCGGCCCCCCGGGCCCTCGCAGGACGCGGGGCGCTCCCGAAACGACCCCAGGAGAGCCACAATACGGTCGACGACGGCCCCCCAAGAAGCCGCCATGCCCCCAAAGAACGTTTCAAAAGAAACCAAAAACCAACAAAATCGAACTTGCCTCTGGAGGCCACCAAGAGGCAAAAATTATTGATTTTGTTAGTTGTTGGTTTGTTTTGGGGTTCTCCTCTTTTCGGCTTCCCGACGCTCCAAGACGGCGGTCTTCTGGGCGTCCGAAGCCGCCTGGGAGGCTCCAAAATCGCCCCACAACCATCCGAAAGGGCTTCCAGGCAGTCCAAGAGAGCCCCAAAACGGCACAACAGGGGACCAAGATGGCCCTCAGAGAGCCCCATGGCGGCCCATGATGGCCCCAAGAAGCCCTCCGAAGCATTCCAAATCGTGACCCGGTCGTTCAGGGAGACCGCGGTTGGATGCAGGGTGGCCCGAGGAAGCCCCCAGAGGCCCCCAGAACACGCCCAGGAGGCCTCCAAAAGGCCTTATGAAAGCCTGAACCAACTTTTGTGAGGCCCCCAGCGGCTCTCCAAGGAGGAGCCTCCGCAAAAAGAGCTAAGGAAGATGGGGAGAATGCGCAAGGCATGGCGAAAATGATAAAAAAAAAAGCATGGAGGAAGGATAACGAATAACAGTCGGAGGTGAGGGGCTGAGATCGAAGTGGAACGGAGAGCCCCCCTACCGGGAAATCGGTTTCGGTTTCGTGTTCGTGCGTGCCGTGCGTGCGGGCGAGGCGAAGCTGCGTGGGCGGGCGAGAAATGTCCCGCCTCTGGCTGAGGCGCGGCCGGACCAAAAGTCTCCCTTCCGGCAACCGGTGCCGCGCGGTGTCCCGCCGGTGTCCCGCCGGTGCCCCGTCGGTGTCCCGATGATGATTCTGATGATGATGTTGATGATGATGCTGATGATGACGATGGCCATGGTGGTGATGATGATGGTGTCCGGATGATGATGATGATGATGATGATGATGATGATGATGATGATGATGTTGATGATGCTGATGTTGCTGATGATTATGGGGTCCCGATGATGATGACGATGATGTTGATGATCCTGATGATGTTGATGATGAGATGATGCTATAATTATGATGCAGATGATGATGATGATGGTGCCCCGATGATGATGATGATGGCGAGGTTGATGATGATGCTGTTGATGATTATGGTGATGATGCTGGTGTCCCGATGATGATGACTATCTTTGTGATAATGATGATGACGATGATGGTGTCCCGATGATGATCATGATGTTGATGGTGAGGATAATAATGACGAGATGTTGATGATTTTGATGGTGGTGGCCCGGTGATGATGATAGTGCTGCAGGTGTTGATGATGATGGTGTTCCGATGGTGATGATGATGACGATGGTGATGATGATCATGGTGACGATGATGGTGGTGTCCCGATGATGATGATGATGTTGATGATGATGATGATGATGCGGATTATGATGATGATGGCGATGGTGGTCTCCCGATGATGATGATGATGATGATGCTGATGATGATGTTGATGGTGCTGTTCATGATGATGAGATGATGATGATGGTGATGGTGTTCCGATGATGATGAGGATGGTGCCCCGGTGATTATGATGTTGATGCTGATGATAGTGACGATGATGGTGTCCCGATGATGGTGATGATGCGATGGTGATGATGATCATGGCCATGGTGGTGATGATGATGGTGTCCCGATGGTGAAGATGGTGATTATGCTGATGATGCTGATGATGATGGTGGTGTCCCAATGATGATGATGTTGATGATCCTGATGATGTTGATGATGATGTGTTGATGAGATGATGATGATGAAGATGATGATGATGAGAGTGTTCCGATGATGATGATGATGATGGGGTTGATGATGATGTTGTTGATGACGATGATGGTAATGATGATGATGATGATGATGGTGTCCCGATAGTGACGGTGATGATGTTGATGATGATGGTGTTCGGTGATGACGGTGTAGATGATGAGGATGATGATGTGGTGATGAGTTTGATGATGGTGGCCCGATGATGATGCTGGTGTTGATGGTGGTGTCCCGATGTTGATGATGATGGTGATGGTAACGATGATGATGGTGTCCCGATGATGATGATGATGATGTTGAGGATGTTACTGATGATGGTGGTGTCCTGGTGATGATGATGTTGATGATGTTGTTCATGACGGTGATGATGAGATGATGATGCTTGTGGTGGCGTTCCGATGGTGATGATGGTGCCCCGATGATGACGATGTTGATGATGATGACGGTGACGATGATGGTGTCCGTGTGATGATGATGATGGTGATGATGCTACTGATGATGTTGACGATGATGGTGATGAGGTGATGATGATGATGATGGTGTCCCGATAATGATGGAGATGATGATGTTGATGGTGTTGGTGACGTTTATGTCGATGATGATGATGATGACGTTGACTGTGAAACCGACTGTCGTATCGATAGTGATACCCATAGTGAGACCGAACGTGAGATAGATTGTGAGATCGATCGTGAGATCGATTGTGGGATCGATTGTGAGATCGATAATCATACCGATTGTGAGATCGATCGAATGAAATAGATCGAGTGATATCGATTGTGAGATCGATCGAGTGAGATCGATCGAGCGAGACCGATGGTAAAATCGATGGTAAGGTCGATAGTGAGACCGATCGAGTGACACGTTGGTTCCTCCCCCCCCGAACCTCCTTATCACCCGAAGGGTGGTCGTATAGGTATTATAGCGACGATGCCGGAAAAGGAGGTATCGCTGAATTGTCGACTTGCCCTTCCTGCTAGTCTGCCTGCATACCAAAGTAAAGGACCCAGGTGCATGGCGCGAAGCGCCACTGCAACCTTGTATATATTTTCGTATATATGTATATATACGCCGGCCCCCTTGTCGGGCCACCAGGCTGTGGGCCGAAGTTGCTGCTCCCTGCGCCAGTTGCAGTTTCAAGTCTCCAATGCTATACTCCTGCTTTCTGCTTCCTACTGTAACCTGTTTAAGTCCGCGCGAGGGGGGAGCCCCAAAACACCCAATTTGCCACGGCCAGATCGCGTTCTCTGAATTCATCGGGGGGCGCGGGGCATGTGAACATTCGTGAGCGTCGCGCCCCCGAGGCTACAATCTCTCGCAAATGATTAAATAGTCGCGTCCCCGAGGCAACACACCCTTGTAAAGTACACGATATTCGCGTCCCCGGGGCCAACACACCCTTGTGTAAATTACGCGATGTTCGTGCCCCCGAAACCAAAAGCCTTGGCAAATTACGGCGTACTCGCATTGCCGAAGCCAAGAGTACTCCAAAGCGTTCCAAGACGGCCCAAGAGGACCCCCAAAAGGCCCCAAGAGCGCTCCAAGAGGCCTCCCGAGAGAGCCCCAAGAGGGCCAAATCGTAGGCTTTACGAAGGTCGTTGATGGATAGACAGCCCAAGACGCCTCCAAGAGGGCCCCAAGACGGCCCAAGAGGGCTCCAAGATGGCCCAAGAAGCGCTGAAGACGGCCCGAGAGGGCCCCAAGACGGCCCCAAGAGGGGCCCAAGCAGGGGACCACGAACCGGCCATTCGATACTGGAGCCTCGAGAAGCCCCCAGGAGGCCCCAAGAAGCCGCCAAGAGGCCCCAAGAGGCCCCAGGAGGCGCCCAAGACGCGCCCAAGACGCGCCCAAGAGGCCGAAAAGATACCCCACGAGGCTCCAAGAGGCGCCCAAACCGCCTCCAAGGCCCCCCCACGACACCCCAACTCATGCACAAGAGGGCTCAGAACCACAACCCAGGCACGGTGGCGGGATGGGACGAAGGCCACTAGGATCCGCCGCCCCCTGCTTGCAGGGGTGCACGGCGTGCTGGATGTTTCAGGTTTTGGTTTTGGTTCTTTTTCCAAAAGAACTCCCCAGTGGGCTCCGGCCCGTCCCGCCGGGGTCCCGGGAGGAAGCCGAAAACACCTCAATCCGGAAAAAAATCCTCCAAAAACGGCCGTTTCGCTCGGGACATCCTCAACAAATCGCGAAGATGGCCCAAGATGGCCTCCAAGTCCGCCCGAGATGGTCCAAGACGGCCTCCAAAACGGCCCAAGAGAGTCCAAGACGGCCCAAGACGGCCCAAGAGTCCCCCCAGAGGCCTCCCAGACGGCCCAAGAGGCCTCCAAGAGGTCCTCCAGGAGAGTCCGAAGAGGCCAAAATCATTGATTTTTCCTTGGTTTTTGAAGGATTCTGGCATTTGCGCCTTTTCGGCTCTCCGACGGCTCGAGACGGCCCAAGAAGCCCCCAAGATCGCCCAAGAGG